TTTTGGTTACATATTGTAACCCAAGACAAACCTTTTTATGCAGAAGGGTTGAAATATTTCCACGCTGACAGCTCTGTGGTATGCTTTGCTGGAGAGCTGCTAGGGTTGGCTGCTGGAGGTCTCCTGCTGAGCTATGCAACTGCTGGTGGGATTTGGGGCAAAAATGCTGTAAGAATTTAGAGTAGCTACTGGGTGGAACTGTGGTGTCCTGGTTCCCTTTGTGGGATGTGATGAGAAAAGTGTCTCTCTGACAAAGAAGCTGGGCACCTTGGGAAAAAAAAGGTTAAGTCTGGTGTAGTTTTGGATTACCGACGAGCTTTAAACTGTTTATAAAAAGACTCAGTGAAGAAACAAATCTGTTAGAAGCATAATAAAACTGAGGTTGTTCTTTTTATTATCCAATACCTGAATAAAACCTTAATGATGAGAGGTTTTTTTGTTTGTTTTCCCTGTTGTGTTAAAGGTGGATAGCAGAGCTGAGTCAATTGACAAGAAAATCGCTAGGCTTGATGCAGAACTAGTGAAGTATAAGGATCAAATGAAGAAGATGAGAGAGGGGCCTGCAAAGGTAAGAATCTTCTGTGGGATTTAAGCATGAGAGGACGTGACTCACACTTCTTGTCATATAGTGAGGTGACTTAGCCAGTTCATCAGGTTCTTAGAATTGTATCTTGCCTTATTGATGAAATAGCAGATCCTGCAGGAGTATTTTTATTCTGAAGCATCTCTGAGAGATGCATCTTTGAACAGTGTTTTCATTAGGTTTCATTTCTTCCAAAGTGTAATGTAATTCCTCAGTCAGAAGTACCTTGCTTCCCTTCTTTCTTCTGTTACCCAAATTAAGGCTGGTAGGGAGGCTGTTTGGTTCATCAGCCAAAACAAAAAGGTTTGCACTGTGCAGAAAGAGAGTAGGAAAAGCCTTTTTTAAAAGGGGATGAATATATAATGTAAAATGTACCTAGTATGAACAGCGTCGTTAAAGTACCTTTTACAGTTTTATTTGATGCTGACCATTAAAATATGTTGCTGAAAGATGATTCTGATGGATCAGGTTTGACATTATTTTCAGGTTATCAAAAAAATAATTTCAAAAGACAAAAGTTTTGAAAGGATTTTCTGTTAGAAGCTTTATGTGCAAGCCTACTTGGTTAATCATTAATGCAGGAAAAATGCTGGATGTGCCTATTGTTAAACTCTTTGCACTAGTAACGGAGGCACCTTTTGGAAAACCTAAATGCGATACATTAGGTTTAAAGAGTATAATCAAGAGTAAATTGAAATATTTTTCCTAATGTAACAATATTTTGTCTTTCAGAATACAGTAAAGCAGAAAGCATTGAGAGTGTTAAAGCAGAAGCGAATGTAAGTTTAAAACCTATCTTGGTTTGGGAGTAATGAAAGCTTGTTTTCTTTAAGGGGGGTGGCACACTTTGTTTTCTCTGTCTAGGCCTCTTGCTTCTGAGCATTCTTTAAAGAAAAAAGCTGAACAGTCTAGGCAGCCTTTCAGAAGTATCTCTGCTTTAGTGTCAGCATATCTGTGCCTTATTTGTATGTGAGTATAGAAATTTGGATTGGGACAAGCTCACCTAAACCTGTTCGTTATTAAAGCTCCTAAACTTTCTGAGATAGCGATCAATTAATAATATAAAATGAGACACTATAAATTGTGTACTTGATGATCTTGGTCTGGTTTACTGGAAATTTACCTGTTCTCTGTGGACACACTTTAGCACTTGAGCACATGTAGCACAGGTAATTGTGTCTATGCAAAAAACCCAGGATGCACAGAACAGATGATCCTGTGGCCTGATCTAGCCTAATATACTGTCTTGAAAAGTGTCCAGCGACAAATAGGAAGCAAAGAATGTCAGAACATGGCGAGAGTTCAGGGGTGCTTCACTGGAACACCTTATACCCCCTGAACTGTAGATCTCTTAGATGCTCTATGAGCCAAAGCTCATATCGTCTTGTATTTCATATCCCTCAGACAAATTGTACCTCTCCAGACTTGCTCGATTACTTGTTAAATATTTGCGAGCTTTTACCTCTGCAATACCCTGTGGTAAGGAATGCAATAGTTAGGTGTTGTGAGAAAGACTGCTTGGTTTTGGTTTTTGGTTTTGGTTTTTTTTTTTTCTTTTGACTGTGCTGCCAGCTAATCTTACTTGATAGCTGTTCCTCTGTTGACAGTCACTGGGCCCCCTTAATAGACTGTCATCATACCCCTCAGTCACCCCTCAGTGATGAATTTAACTGTCCAGAAGCTGCTACGTATTTGGATCATCCTTGTCTTGCAGATGCCCTGTCTTGAATGCTTGAAAAAAGACTTGTTTGGTTTTATGCTTTCATTTTTATGTTTAACTTGGCACATTTTACATTCTTGATTGGATAACAGTTTGGCTTTGAGAAGGATGATTTCTTGTTGATTGTTTTTTTTAACGCCCCCCTATTCTTTTTGGTTACCCTTACCAGTTTCCTTTTGCTACTCTGTCCTCCCACTCCTCCCTGCCCTGCAGAGCAGAGCTGTTGTGGTTTGGAAAACCTGCATTTCTTCCATTCTGTTTACAGCACCAGTGAGCAATTGTGTGTATCTTTAGCTCATAGGGATTAAAACTTTTGCTCTACCCTCACCTACTGTGTATGCCTATACAAATATTGTATCGCTGTCAGTTAAAACCAAAGCTTAGTTCAGGAGTAGCTTTGTCATCTTTAAATACACAGAAATGCATAATGGCCAGATTTTTCCTGAAATGGTTTGCAGTAGATTAAAAAAAAAAAAAATCTATTCCTCTTG